AGAGGTGGGGTGTAAGGGTCTCTCGAGGAGCCTCACCAAGTTGCTCTCTGAGGCCCCCGCCCACGGCCACAAGTTAGCTAGTACGCAAGTCGGCGACGAGAAGCTGCCCCTAGTGTTTTGTATGCTTTGTGGCAGCTACTCGCAAGAAAAAGTGCGTAATCTGGCAGGGAAGTGTGATCCGAGGGAACACAGTGCAGGTGCCAGTGTGCTGAGTAGGCTCAAGAGAGGCCTTCACCCTCAGCGTAATGTTGCAGTTTCTTGTGCGGCTCCTGAACGGCCAGCGTCAGGAGCGGCTGTGAGAGCCTTTGCCACCGCTTCGCGGGTTCATCTCATCCCTCCGTGCTCGTCTCATTTGGCTTGTCTGGCCCCTCTGAGGGCTAGGATTGCTGAGAGAGAAACGGGGGTGCGGGCGGACTTCGGGAGCGGTGGGCGGGGAGGGCAGCAAGAAGCTCCGAGAGTGCAGGGTCCTGCACCAGGAGATGAAGTTTTTGATGTTTTGTTCGAGGCTGAGGAAGCCGAAGCCCGAGTTTTGTTGGAGGACGGGGTGCCTGGTGCAATGACAGAGGCTCCCGTGCATGACACCTCCGCCGTGTCTGACCCCCGTGAGGGGATGAGGGGTTGGTCCGACTTGCCGCGGAGCGAGGAGGACGTGGCTCCTCTGATTCCGAACCGCCCTGAGGGCTCGGAGTCGGGGTCAGACTAATGCCTGGGGGACTGGCGAGTGGCCAAGGGACATCCTCCCTCCTTGGGAAATGAGTCCGTGGTCGCTTGCTGGTCCCTTCTCTGGCGTTAGGTTCTGAAGGGCTGCTCAGGCAGCCGCTTACAAACAGGTCAGGCCGCCGTGGCCCCCCCCCCCCCCAAAAAAAAACATCGCTAGCGTTCCAGAAACACTTTCTTGGAACGACTCAGGATTGCCAGGGGTCAACAGCTACGCGGATTCACAGCGCTGAAATCCCAAGAACTGTGCGCTTGCACGATTCAGGACCGCCCAGGCGCAACAATCAAGTTCATTGATGGCGTTGAAGTCCCGCGAATGCTCTTCTGGTACGCTTCAGGATCTCCAACCGGTCTCCCAGCGGGACACTTCATTCTGTGGACATGAACCCTTGCAGGGACCCATGAATAGGGAGCTTGGGGGGAAGGTTTATTCCAACATCTTTGATGAGTCTTGGGTTGACACTGGTCCCCCCCTTCCACATCCTCCTCCTTTTTCCGCATTCTCCTACGGTTTTCTGTTGGCCTGGCGCGGGCTTGGACACCGAGGGGAGCTGAAACGTCAGCTCGGCAAGGTTAGCTGGAATGGCCGACGTAGGCGAGTTGATCCTCCTCCTCCCCCTCCTCCTGGTCCCCCTCCTCCTCCTCCGCCTCCTCCTCCTCTTACAGCTCCTAGCAGCACTGCTGCTCCTGCCCCTCCCCTTCCTCCGCCTCCTCCTCCGCCTCCTCTTCCGCCTCCTCCTCCTCCTCCTCTTACTGCTCGATGCTCGATGCTGCGGGCTCTGGTGCCTTCAAACGGCGCAGCCCTCCCCCACTTCAGCGGTCTTCGTCGCTGAGGGGGCTGCCCCTGGTGGTTTCCCTCCTCCTCCTCCTCCTCCTCCTCCTCCTCCTCCTCCTCCTCCTCCTCCTGCAGTCCTGGACATTTCAAATGGGCGGGAGGACTCGTTCTCTGGCGGTGAGAAATGCTGATGTTTCTCCTCCTCCTCCTCCTTCTCCTCCTCCTCCTGCTCCACTTGCTCCTCCTCCTCGTCATCCTCCCTCTCCTACCCCTCCTCCTCCTTCTCCTCATCCTGCTCCTCCTCCTCCAACTCATCCTCCCCGCACCCCATCCACTCCGCCTTCGCTCCCCCCTTCACCGTGCTGGTCCTCTCCATCGAGATCATCTTCCCCTCCTGCCTCACCTCCTCCGCCTCTCGTGCATGGCGCCAGGCAGGCGCATCCAGGGGGCGACACCGCTTGGGGTCCAAAGAGGGCGGGACAGGACGTGAAGAGCACAGAGCCGCTTCCGGCGCAGACTGGGCGGCCGACGCGCTGGAGTAGAGCAGCACGGAGTGCAGTGGAGCTTTGGGGGCCCACTGGGATTACCAGCAGAGGCGCCTGGCAGGAGAGTCTCGAATGGTCGAACAAGGATGTCTTACACGGGCCGAAGCAAAGACCATGGCAGCGTGCCCGCAATCTTTTCTTGTGTTAGAAGCACAGCACCTCCAGGTCGGCGTACGAGGGGCTCCTCTGACTTCGGGGTGTGGGTCAGGAAGGCTCGGAGCGCATCGTGAAGGACGGGCGAAGGCACCCAGGCCCCAAGGATGTACTCAAAGGGCCGCGCGCAGCGCACGCCCGGGGGGCTCCACGCCGCGAGGCCTGCAGCTCAGAGGTGCGCGAACTCGCGCGTGTTGCACGGGCCCACCTGGTCGGACAGGGCAGGCCCGGGCAGCCTCTTTCCCGCGGCCAGCCCGCGGGGAAGTGAGGGGCGGGCGGGCCTTCTCAGAGGGCTCGGCAGCCCTCCGGCCCTCCGAGAAGCTCTCTGGGCCTCCCCCCCGCGGGGACACAGAAGGCTTACCAGAAGGCCAGGGGGCTTCTGGGAAGCCCCGCCGCCTTCTGAGCAGGCCTGCTCCTCTCACCTTCCCCCCACGCTCGCCGCCGAGCTTTACGGAGGCCAGCCGAGCTTGGCAAGACAGGCCAGGACAGCCATTGTTCTCCGAACTGCAGAGACGGCAGTTGCAGCAGCTCGTCGCAGGAGCAGAGGCAGACCATAGAGTCCCGACGCATTCTTCTCCAGAGCCTCGCTCCGAAACCGGGGGCTCCAGGGCCCTGGAGCCGAGTGGGGTGGCGGTCTGGGTGCACAATGACAACGCAGCGGTTCCCTTGGTCGGCTGCTGGCCCGCCCAGCCCAAGTCCACTGAGCAGGAACGCTGGCTCTCCGAGAAGCGAACGTCGAGGTCATCCCCTTGCTCCTCCCCATCCACCCCCCTCCTCGCTGGCAAGTCAGCTGCAATTCCTTTTCCTCCTCCGCCTCATCCTCCTTCACAATGAGACAATCTGAATACTACTCTCCTCTCTCCCCGGGTGACGTCCAGGAAATGGCCGGCCCCCCTCCGCGTACTGTTTTTACACAGGATTCCCGGGAGTCGGGTTTTCGCGTGGGTATTGTTTTCAAAATGCTACTCTCGCTGAGGGCCTTATTTTCGGGCCACCGCTCCTTCCGAATCGTGCTCCCGCTGCAGCGTTGGACTCATTTCCACGCTTCCGCTCTTTCCGAATCGTGTTCCCGCTGCAGCGCTGGCGTCATTGTTTCCAGCGCCATGCCACGGCATGGTTTTCGGTCCTTCCAAATATGCGGCTATGCCATGTAATGCTATGCCATGCTACGACATCCGGATGAGCGAATGGAGAAGAGATCCACGCCATGGTAAGGGATGGGGGTGAGGGGTAGGACGTCAGATATGACGCGAGCGCACCTGGCTTGTCTTCCTCGCCCTCCCCCCCTCCTCTTGATCGGGGAAGAGGAGGCAAGAAGGGGGTGTTCGAACTGCGCAAGGCGCCAGAGACGCTCGGGGGCTGTGGAACATCTGGGGCCCACGGGCAGCACGCCCGGCAGCACCACCCTCAGAGGCAAAACGTGACGGGCCGCAGGCGCCACGACCCGGGAGTGCGAACGCAGGGCAGGGACCCAACGGGCACCCAACTTCGCGCGTCGCGCTGCACGAAAGAACTTCGCGCTCTCGCGCCGCCCAGTCCGGGGAGAAGAAGAGGATGCGGCATCGGAGCCGAGCAACGCAGCGCGAAGCGCGGCTGACTTCGCGCCCTCGAGGACGCGCCCTTGGGGCAGGGACCCGTGCCAGTGGTCCCGCCAGCGACGTGCGCGCATCCTTCGCATAGCGTGACGTCGCGCCCACGAGCAGCGGCGCACCAGCACGCCGCCAAGACAGTCGCCGCCGAGGCCGCCGTGGCACCGCGGCGCGGCGGAGCCGCGCGGCGCGCGCGGGCACCGGAGTCGACCAACGCAGTGACGTGGTACAGGAGCGAGACGGCGCACCAGGAATCACACGCGGATGGATGCACACGCGGAGCATCTGGAGCCGACGCATCTCATACTCGAGGCCTCCTGCTCCTCCCCCTCCTGCCCCTCCTCATCCTCCTCCATCTCGGCGGACGATGGAGGAGGAGGAGGAGGAGGAGGAGGAGGAGGAGGAGGAAGGAGGAGGAGGAGGAGGAGGAGGGAGGAGGAGGAGGAGGAGGACGAGGAGGGAGGAGGAGGAGGAGGAGAGGAGGAGGGAGGCAGGAAGAGGATGAGGAGGAAGAGGAGAGGAGGATGAGGAAAGGAGGAGGAGGAGGAGGAGCAAGAGGGGGGAGGAGGAGGAGGAGGAGGAGGAGGAGGAGGAGGAGGAGGAGGAGGGAGGAGGAGGAGGGAGGAGGAGAGGCGGAGGAGGAGGAGGAGGAGGAGGAGGAGGAGGAGAAGGATCGGAAGCAGCAGTAGCGGCGGCGGCGCGAGCTGGAGCCAGGGGGCGGGAGCCAGGAGGAAGGAGCAGGCGGGGGAAGCAGGGCGGAGGCGAGGGCGTGGAGCGGGAAGAGGAACGGCAGGAGGGGCCACGAGCAGCGGGGGCGGTAGGAGCTGCGGGGAGGAGAGCCGTGGCCCAGAGCTCTAACGCGTGTTCTTTCTCACTTCGCTGCGGCAAAGGCGGACCCCTTGAAACGTGAAACGATGCCACCGAATGAAATGGGACTGGGGAGCTGGCGGGCTGTCCTGCCGCGGTGCCGTCCAAGGCGGTGCTTGGGCGTCTTTTCTTTGCAGCGCTTGGCGTTGAGGCGCCGACGCTGTAAAACGATGCCCGCGCCCTGCCAAAAAGCATCTCGGCTGGCCGACGATTCAAAGGTGGGGCCTCGAAGGACGGGGCCCGAAGGATGGGAATGGACTCAAGGTTGGATTTCTATTGGTCAATGCTCCTCGCCATTAGGGCCCCCGTCTCTCAGGACCCCATCTTTGAACCACCGAGCAGGGGCGAAAAGGCCTAGCGAAGCGGCCCCGCGGGGACGGGCCCATAGCCGCCCCACAGCACCGGGGCGCCGCCGCACCCCCCACAGCCGGAGGCGGCGCCGGCGGGGCAGGGCGCGTACCCTGGGGAGTCCACCAGCCCCCCCCCCTTGCGGGGGGCCACGTGGGTCGCTGCGGAGACCCTGCACACCAGGAGGTGCGCATCTCCTGCGGGAGCCAAAGATCTGCCAGGTCACTTCAGCCCTGGCTGGCCGCCCTGGCGCGCTCATCCTGAATCGCGTGCAGCTGTGAGTGCCCTTCTGCCCCTCCCCCCCGGTCCTCCGCGGCCGCTCCGCCTCCCCGCGCGCCCCCTCTCCCGCAGCTGGGAGCGCCCCCGACAACTCGAGCGCCCGCGCGGATCGCCTCCGCCGTGCCGCGACGAAAAAGTGGGCACGAAAAAGTGTTCGCCCCCCTCCCCCTTAGCCTGCGGGGACGGGTCCAAAAGGAAACGGGTCCTGGACCCCGGAGCTTTCCCCCAGGGCCAGCCCTTCATCCTGAGCCGCTTTCGGACAGTCCTGGGGCCCGTGGAGGGCCCCCGTGAGCCCGAAAGCGGCGAAAAAACTCAGAACCCGTTTCCCTCAAGACCAGCTTCCCCCATGGCAAATCGAGAAGGAGGAGGAGAAGGAGGAGGAGGAGGAGGAGGAGGAAGGAAGGGGACGAGGACGAGGAGGAGGAGGAGGAGGAGCAAGAGGAGGAGGAGAAGGGGGAGGAGGAGGAGGAGGAGGAGGAGGAGGAGGAGGAGGAGGAGGGGCATGGGGAATATCGAAGAGGAGGAGGAGGAGGACAAGGAGGAGGAGGAGGAGGAGGAGGAGGAGAAGAGGAAGAGGAGGTGGAAGAGGAGGAGGAAGAGGAGCAGGAGGAGGAGGAGGAGGAGAGAGAAGAGAAGGAGGAGGAGGAGGAGGAGGAGGAGGAGGAGGAGGAGGAGAAGGAGGAGGAGGAGGAGGAGGAGGAGGAGGAGGAGGAGGGGGAGGATGAGGATGAAGAGGAGGAGGAGGAGGAGGAGGAGGAGCAGGAGAACGCTGAGGAGGAGAGGGAGGAAGAGAAGGAGGAGGAGGATGTGGAGGAGGAGAAAGAAGGATGGGGAGGAGGAGGAGGAGGAGGAGGTGGAGGAGGAGGAGGAAAAGGAGGAGGAGGAGAAGAGGAGGAGGAGGGGGAGGAGGAGGGGGAGGAGGAGGAGGAGGAGGAGGAGGAGAAGGAGGAGGAGAGAGGAGGAGGAGGGGAAGAAGAAGAAAAGGTTGGGCAGGGAAAAATCGGGGGGGGGGGAAAAGAGATGAGGACGCGGAAAAGGAACAGTAGAAGGAGAAGGAGGAAGAGGAAAAGAAAGAAGAGGATAAACAAAAGGAGGAGAGGAAACGGGAAGGAGGATAAGCAGGAAGCGGAGGAGGAGGAGGAGGAGGAGGAGGAGGAGGAGGAGGGGTAAGAGTAGGAAAATGAGGAGGAGGAGGAGGAGGAGGAAGCGGAGGAGGGGAAGACGAGGAGACGGAGGAAAAGGAGGAAAGGTAGGAGGAGGAGGAGAAGGAGGAAGAGGAGGTGGAGGTGGAGGGAGGAGGAGGAGGAGGAGGAGAGGAGGAGGAGAGAGGAGGAGGAGGAGGAGAGGAGAGGAGGAGGGGGGACGGGGAGGAAGAGGAAAAGAAAGGAGGAGGAGGAGAGAGGAGCAAGAGGAGGTGGAGGAGGAAGGGGAGGAGGAGGAGGAGGAGGAGGAGGAGGAGGAGGAGGGAGGGTGGGGAGGGGGAGGAGGAGCAAGAGGAGGCGGAGGAGGAGGAGGTGGGGGGGGAGGAGGAAGAGGAGGAAGAGAAGGAACAGGAGGAGGAGGAGAGGAGGAGGAAGGAGGAGGAGGTGGAGGAGGAGGAGGGGGAGGAGGAGGGGGAGGAGGAGGAGGAGGAGGAGGAGGAGGAGGAGGAGAAGGACCTGTATTACCCCAAGAGTCATCAACAATGTTGGCATGAAGCCGCCCTCCAAGGTCCATTATCTTTCCCATGGGCCCTACAAATATTCATATCACTTGAGGGAATTGCTTCATTGGAAAACAACCGTTTGATGACCCTGACGCATGCCAAAACATCAGTATCGGGACTCCAACGCCACGAGTCAACTGATTTTTGCGTTGTGACGATCCTGAATCGTGCCAAAACGCTATTCTCTGTGACATCAGCACCGCGAAGCAAAATAACTCTTGCACCCGCATGATCATGAATCCCGCCAAAACGCCAGTCATTGTACGCTTACCATGGGCATCCTTGAAACGTTTGCAATTTTCAACAACGAGTGCGCGCGGTGTCACAGCGAGATACACAGTTTGAAACAGAACCGCCCCCAATCCGTGAAACTCTTGCACATGTTAGAACGAATGCGCGCGGCGCTACAGCGAGAGCGACACTTTTAGAACCAAAATCACACGTTGAAAACCACCCGCCCTCAATCCGTGAATCTCTTGCAAAGTTGAAAAAACGCATGTGCGCGGCGCTACGGCGAGAACCACACGTTGGAAACCACCCGCCCTTGATACGTGAAACACGTTGTCAAACGAACGCGCGCGGCGCGCAGGCGTAGCCACATTTTGAAAACCACCCGCCCTCGATCCGTGAAACTCTTGCAATTTCTTAAAATGCGCGGCGCCGAAGCGAGAACGAACCACATTCTGACAACGGTCCGCCCTCAAGCCGTGAATCCCTTGCAAGGTTGCAAACGAATGAGCGCGGCGCTACAAAGAGAAACACAGTTTGAAACCGGCCCGCCCTCCACCTGTGAACTGTTGCCAACTCCCGAGCTCCAGGGTCATGAATGGCGAGGCAAACTCAAGCGAAACGCCTGGCCCGCCCTACAAACTAGCCTCGTGTGCGACAAAGGATTACTTTAAGGGAAGAGAATAGAGAAAGAGGAGATGGAGGAGGAAGAGAAGGAGGAAGAGGAGGCGGAAGGAGGAGGAGGAAGAGGAGGAAGAGGAGGTGGAAGAGGAGGAGGTGGAGGGGGAGGAGGAAGAGGAGGAGGAGGAGGAGGGAGGGGGGAGGGGGAGGATGAGAAGGAGGGAGGAGGAGGAGGGAGGAGGAAGAGAGGAGGAGGAGGAGGGGAGGCGGAGGAGGAGGAGAAGGACCTGTTTTACCCCAAGAGTCATCAACGATGTTGGCATGAAGCCGCCCTCCAAGGTCCATTATCTTTCCCATGGGCCCTACAAGGATTCATATCCATTGAGGGAACTGCTTCGTTGGAAGACAACCGTTTGATGACCCTGACGCATGCCAAAACAAAACAACAGAGCAACGCAACAAGCTACAATGTATCAGAACGCATTTCACCTCATGGTCATTACCGCAATGACACCACACCCAACCTGAACCTCCCCGCACCAGTCCTGACTCGCACGCAGAATCCTGAGCTCAAGCTGGGGTAGCCAAGCGACAGTAAACAATGCGGAACGAAGTGCAACTGCAAAACAAACGAAATACAGCAAACGGCGCAATGCACAACACATTGCAGCGCAACAAACGTCTATTTCGCGTCATGGTCGCTGGCGTTACGTTGCATCGTTGAGGGACCCTGTCTGTCCCATCCTGCTGGCCCTCCGCGTCGCATCCATGCCGAATCCATCCCGAACGCGTCAAATCCGTGCCGAATCCGTGCCGAAGCCACGACGAAGCTGCGTCGAACCCACGCCAAAGTACAAGACAGGACTGCCATTCACATAACAGTGAGGCCCCCCTCCCCGAAGATGCCAAGTAACTGGCGCGTTGACGCTACACCCTCTCCGAACCTCTCTGCACCATCCCGCCTCACACGCGGGGTCCAGATCTCGAGCTGCGGGCGCCCAGCGCAGCGCAAGCACGCGCAGCCCCGCGCAAGACTTCGACACCAAGGAAAGTACAACAGAGCAATGACTGCGGGCGCGACAAAGACCATCGCAACACATAATGCGATGCTGTGAAACAATGTGTCGCGTCATGATCGTTGGCGCGCTGACACCGCACCCTCCCTGAATCTCCCCGGAAAAACTACTCGCACGCAGATTCTGGAACTCAGGCTGAAACAGCCAAACGAGAAGCACAAACAGTCCGACAAAACACACACACGATGCAACAAACCCGCGCATCGCGACAGCAGCGACTGCTTTTTGAACGCCGCGCCCTCCCTGGCTCGCCCGAGACCGCTGCCGACGCACACACCCAGCAAGGTAGTTAACCGAACTAAGCTCAACGGTAAACCAGGACATCGAGTACATGCACCAATTCAACAACCAAATTGTTGGAGGCCTGGAATTTGGCACCAACACCAACACAGGGGGCTGCCTCAACAGTGGGAAGATGATCCTAGATTTCGGTGTTGGTGGTAATATTTCGGTCACCTTGGAAGCCAGAATATCACCACCATCACCGAGATCGGGGTTTTCTTCCCTCGGTGCAGGCGCACCGCCGATATTGGTGTTGGTGTCAACTTCTAGACCTGCAAAACTGCGGCGCAAAATGCAAAACACACGATAACTGCAGCGCACGAAGCATTGCCATGAACACTACACTGCGCGTCGGGTCATAGCTATGGGCGCTTTCACACGACGTCCTCCCTGAACCTCCCGACACCACTCTCGATTAAAGCGCAAAACCTGAAGCTTAAGCTCAAGCAGCACAACGTAACGTAACAAAAGCGATATGCACCAGAAACTGAAATGCGACAGGAAATACAATCAACGAACTTATATAAACATAAACAGAAAACGAACAACTAAATCATTGTCGCTGTCGCTTTGATCCGCACTCTCCCTGACCCCCCCAATCACGCCTGACTCACGCGCGGAGTCTTTCTTTCCCTTATTCAACGTGGGGGGGGGGGGGGGGGGGGCAAACGTCGTGGGGGTGCCACGCCGGCGATAAATACCCCAGGGCCAAATTTTCACGCCGGCGAAAAAACACGTCGCTCAAAGGCTGGCGAAAAGTATGCACCATTTCAGGGTCGCTAGTGATGATGATGGTGCTGGTGGTGATGATGATGATGGTGATGATGATGATGGTGATGATGATGATGATGATGATGATGATGATGATGATGATGATGATGATGATCATGGTGATCGTGATGGCGCTGTTGATGGTGAAGACGATGCCCCGATCATGAGAACATTGATGAAATGACGATAGCGGTTTTGCAAGATGCGGCGAATGGACAATATGATAACGATGCTGACGATGACGATGAAGATTGGGATAGTAATACTGACTATGATAATGGATACCATGTAGGAACAAAAGCTCGTGGCGATGGTTATGAGGGCGAGGTTTATGTGGATGATACTTCTCAAATAATATTCGCAAGACGTGGCGCAAACACGCTCACCAGATCGTGCGGTAGTTCTCCAAACGGGCGAATGTGAGCAAGCGCGAGACACGTGCAATGCGCGAGCGCGGTTGCTGCAGAATTGACGAACATGTATACGGTTCACATACCAGCAACATGCAAATTTAAGAACATTATGTATGTCGTAGGCGCCGGCGAAAATTAAGCCGTCATCGCACGAGGGCCGGCGATAAATATTCTTGGGAACCCAACGCCAGCGAAAATTATGCTGGTTCCCAAAAACGCACGCTGTGAACATTACACCACCCACTCAGGGAAATAGTACAGGCTCAAGCTCAAGCAGCCAAACGCAGCACAGTACAATGCCAAGAATCAATTGAACGACAAGCTGTGCTTCTGATTACTATGGTTGGCGCTTGGGGCACCGCGACCCCCCTGACTCCCCCCCAAACCTCCCCCGACTCACACACGGAATCCCGAGCTCGAGCTGAAGCACCTAAGCGAAGCACACAGAAACAACTATAAATCAACATATAACCTAAAGTGCAAATAGTTGACATGTAACAGAAGCTGCGTCTATGCAGTTGCTTGATTGCCCCGCAACGGCGTGGGAGTTTTCCAAGAGGGCCCAAAGCGGCCCCCAAGGCGGCTTACAAAGGGGCCCAAGACGGCCCAAGAGCCCCAAGACGGCCCGAAAGCAAATTCCAAGAAGGCCAAAGTGGGCCCGAAGACAAGAAGATGAGGCCCCCCAGAGAAGCTTAGCTTCTCTGGGGGGCCTCACCCTCTTGTCCTCGGATGAAAGAAAGATGTTCTTGGGAGCATCTTAATAATAAGGTGCTCCCAAGAAGCCCCCGGGACGAATTAACCGAGGGCCTGAGCGGCGGCGACTCGCCGGAGGCGTCTGCGATAACTCGGCTGGGACTGCGAGTACGGCGACTGAGGCTGCATGTGCACAACGGCTGCCTGATTCTGCGGAGGAGGCCACGGGCCCTGCACATGGTACTGGGACTGCGGCTGCACGTAAGATGGCAGCTGGCCGTAAGAGAAGCCGGGAGGCCCGCCTGGCAAAGGCACGGGCCCTGGCACCTGCTGCCCGTACTGCGCCGGGCCCTGCACGACAGCACGTGGGGAAGACAGAGCTGCACGAGCATGGACTTCGGAGGTCCGCTCGGAGTTTCTCCATCGGCGCTGGGCCGCCCTCCATGGCGGGCGGAGGGCGCCAGGGGCGGCGCCAGAGGCGCCGCTGGGGGACGCCAGCGCAGATTCGAGAAATCCGCGCCGAAGCTCCGAAAGTCTATGTTTCAGTCTTTCTCTGTCCCCCGACGACGGGCCCTGGCGGCGGCAGGAACGAGCCAGGACCTGAGTAGGCGCCCGGAATAGGCACAGAAAAAAGAGGTAGGATGCCCAGCAACAGCTGCTGTCCAAAGCAGACAGCGGCCGCTGTTGGGCAGGCGGCCTCCTTTCTCAAATGAACAACGACCGCGGCCTCGCCGACAGCGAACCCCGTTCAGACAGAATGAACAATAACTGCTGTTGGACTTTGTACACCTTGTTTCCGTAACCGCGATAGGTCTTTGTGTCTTTAAACCCACAAGGGGGGGTAACTAATTACTTGTTCTGAGAATTTGTTGAAGGACTGGGAGCCCAACAATCGGGGGCAACTGATTATCCTCTTCCGCGGCACCCGCCGCGCAACCACGACGACGACAGCTACGACTGCGATTGCGACTACGACTACGAGGAGGAGGAGGAGGAGGAGGAGGAGGAGGAGGAGACGACGACGTAGCCGATGCGGACGGTCCAGCCTGCACGGGCTCCAGCAGGAGGAGGAGGAGGAGGAGGAGGTTTTGTAGGACCAGACCTACTCACCACCGAGAGACGAGGAGGCGCTTACCCACTCTGACCCTCCCGAACCTGGGGTCGCCGCGCCCTGCAGCACCGGCGGCGCCGGCGCGGCCGGCGAGGTGTGCAGCGGCGGCGCCCGCCGCTGCGGCGTCCCCGGCGCCGCGCCCGCGGGCGAGCCGCGCGCCCGAGGCCTCCGGTCGGCGCCCAGCTGCGGCACGGCGCGCGTGCGGCCCTTGCCCTGCGAGCACCGGGTGAGCATCGCCACGAGGCCGACGAGCAGCACTGCGGCCAGGATTGATGCAAGACGAAGGCAGAATCGAGGAAGGAAATCGTACCGATCCAGATCGGAAAGCTCTGAGAGTCGGCGGGTGTGTAGACGTAACGGGCGCCGCGGCCGTTTCAGAGCGTCCTGGAACGCTCTGAGAGCGTTCCAGAACGCTCTGGGACGGATGCAACTATGTCGATTCTAGGCCCGTCCGGTGATATCTGCGGCCACCACTTGCGCCACGGAGTGGGCTGAGCGTGGTCCGGCTCGTCGGACCCGAGCCGCCAGCGGAAGGGCTCCACCACGGAGGCGTAGGCGACAGAAGCGCGCACGTCCCAGCTGGCGTCATAGTTCCACAGGTGCTGCGTGATCTTGTCGGAGACCTCTTCGTCGCTGTGGTTCATCAGCACCTCGCGCACGTCGTACGCGTCGGCGTCCCCCCCTGGAGTGGACAAGTTGTAGAAATAGTCGATCCCGCCACGCTCGTCGAGTACGAAGTTCGTGGAGACGCCGCTGCTCGGTATGTTGGCCAATTCGGCAAGAGCCTCGTCGACCGCTAACTTCGTGGTGTTGTTGGCCAGGAAGGCCGACGCCGCCGACGAGGGGTCAGCATCAGGCGAGAGCCGGCGGCCACCCGACACGTCAATCTTCATGCTTCCAGAGACCTTGTTCTCATCTTTGGGCTCGCCCAGAGTCATCGGGAGCTGCTTGTTGAGCACATTCTGAATGATCGAGGTGAACTTGTCGTCCATCACCAGGTCTATCGCCGGCTTGGCCGCCTCCAGGCCCACGCTGGCAGTGTGGCACTCCATGTGCGTGTCCTTGGCCGCATCCTTCCCTGCATCCTCCGCCCCCTTCTTCGCGTCGTCTGTCGCGTCGTGAGCCATGTCGTCCATCAGCTTGAGTCGCCGCTGGCACTGCAATGACAAGTCGAATCCGATGTCTGGGATACCGCTCTTCGCACTCTCGATTGTCATGTGCTTCATGTTCGCAACAATGTTGGACGCGTTGAGGGACGATCCGCTCGTGATCGTGACGACCCCAGTGATCGGCATCTTCACTTTCAAATTCTTGATATTCGCTGTGCCATCGAACTCCACGTCTGATGAATTGGACGAGTCTTCCAACCGTCTGCGGTGAGACTTCTGTTCAGACTTGTCTCCAGACTTACCTCCCTTCTCAAGCTCGGCATGGGCAGTCATGGTGACTGGGACAGATGCCTCCATCTCCATATAGGCTGTTGCCGTGGTGCTGAACCCCGTTGATACAGCGACACTACTATTCGTAACAACCTTGGATGCAGTGAGGCTCGTGATAGTGAAATCCGCAAGACCCCCAGCGAAGTCCATAAGTATGCACGGGACGAGTTCCAGCAGATACTGAGCAGTTTAGCTTTGACATCCGAGAGTCGACAATTAGCAACACTCTAAAACTCTTAGCAACTCCAACTATCGGCATTCATCATATTTGCTGCACTCTTGCGTCAGGCCTCAGACACTCAGAACGGGTCGAATCCTCGCGTGACCACCGTCGGCACGAAACAAGCTCGCTACGACCCCTGAACCACTTCATCTGAACGCTCGGTGCGGGGGGAGGCGGGGGCCTGGCCGAAGGAGAAACGATGGGTCCGCGCTTCCAACGCGAAAGATCAGCGCTCCCGAGGCCGCGAGCCATCGTAGAAAGACTGATCCGCACTCCCGAGGTCACGGCCGCTCGCGAACAAGAGATGGTCCGTGCTCCTGACGGCACGATCCCTCTCGTAAACGATTATGGGTCCGCGACTCCGAGCCCACGATGCCCCGAATCCCACCAGCCCTTTGGGCGTGAGTGGTTTAGAGAGCCCGCTCTGTTCTCAACCCCCCTTCTTCCCCTTCGGGGAGGGGTTTACCCCTCCCCCTACCCCCTCCCCCTGGGCCTGGAGAGGTCCCTCCGCGGGTCGCCGGAGGGGTCTTTTTCGACTCCTCGGAGGGCTAAAAAACGACACCCCTCACGAGGATTCTGGCCCCGACGGGGGAGGGAGAAAAGTGCTCCCCCCATCTGTGATCGATCGCCCGACAGATGGCCCCAAGATTCCTCCCAGACCCCTCCAAGAGGCCTCCAAGAGGCCTCCAAGAGCCCCCAAGAGGCCTCCAAGAGGCCCCCAAGATGCTCCCAAGAGGCCCCCAAGAGGCCCCAAGAGGCTCCCCCGAGGCACCCAAGACGCTCCTGGAAGCCCCTGGAGCCGCCAAGAGGCCCCCAAGACGCCCCAAACCGCCTCCAAGAGGCTCCCAAGAGGCCCCAAGAGGCTCCCCCAAGGCAACCCAGACGCTCCTAGAAGCCCCTGGGGCCGCCAAGAGGCCCCGAAGACGCTCCAAAAGGCCTCTAAGAGGTTCCCAAAAGACATCTAGTACTACTATCACTACTACGACTACTACGCCAGGACGAGGGGCCCGAACGACTCACACCACGAAGAGCCCGAACGACTCACACCAGAAGGAGGGGCCCGAACGACTCACACCAGGACGAGGCGCCCGAACGACTCACACCACGAGGAGCCCGAACGACTCACACCACGACGAGGGCCCCGAACGACTCACACCACGAGGAGCCCGAACGAGTCACACCAGGAGGAGGGGCCCGAACGACTCACACCAGGATGAGGGGCCCGAACAACTCACACCACGAGAAGCCCGAACGACTCACACCAGGACGAAGAGCCCGAACGACTCACACCACGAAGAGCCCGAACGACTCACACCAGGAAGAAGGGCCCGAACGACTCACACCAGGACGAGAAACCCCAAACGACTCAAACCACGAGGAGCGCTTTCTCTCCCTCCTCCTCCGCCTCGTCCTTCTCCCGCTCCCACCACAAGGAGGATGTACAAGGAGGCGGGAGGAAGGAGGAACAGGGGAGATATGCGAGGGCAGGCGGAAACACGCCTGAAAAGCACGAACTGTCGGCATGCTTCGCAAGAGTTGCTGTTTTGAGATGGGCTGGTGGGGATACGCGAAGCGTGAAGAATTCCAAAACAAAACTACGAGTCCGCACTCTCGAGGCCACGAGCCCTCTGGAACAGAAGCCATGGACCCGCGCCCCCGAGGCCACGACCCATCGCACAGAAACGTAAGCCCGCCCTCCCGAAACAACGACCCCTCTACAGCACACACATATATACATATATATATATATACTCCAGATTTCGTAATAAAAGGGAGGGGGTCTCATTTCGGGGGGGGTCTCTTCCAGGCTATCTTGGAGGGCCTGGGGGGGTCTAGGGACGATGTTTTGGAGGGTTCTACCACGGGGGGGGTCTGAAATGGCTTGTCTTGGAGGGTCCAGACCCCATCCCTTTTATTACGAGATCTGGAGTACATATAAGAACAAAAATGGCCCCGCGATCCCGAGGCGAACGGCCCCGCGTAAGAAACCGCGGACCAACGCTCTCGAAGCCGCCGCCCCTGCCGTGAAAAAGCCTGCAGGGCCGGCGCTCCGAGGCCGCGGGCCCTCGCGCGAGGGCTGCTTGATCTGAGCTCCCGGGGCAACGATCGCCCGCAGTGAAGCACTCCTCCTCCTCCTCCCACTCCCACTCCTCCTCCTCCTCCTCCTCCTCCTCCTCCTCCTCCCCCTCCCCCTCCTCCTCCTCCATCTCCTCCTCCTCCTCCTCCTCCTCCTCCTCCTCCTCCTCCTCCTCCTCCTCCTCCTCCTCCTCCTCCTCCTCCTCCACGGGCAAAACCGCTGGTGAGCGCTGCCGAGGCTGCGCCGCCTCGCGAATCACCGCGGACCCGCGCTCCGTGGGACACGGCCCTTCGTAAATCACGGTGGGCCGGCGCTCCCCAGGCCATGAACCCGAGGCGAAGCCATGGAGCCTGTCTCCAGGCGCCTAGATTTTTGTCCTACTACAGGCCAGTCGCAAGCAGCTATGGCCGAGTCCACCCTTCTCTGGGGTAGCCAGGCGGGCCTCGGCCTTGATCAGACACTGATGGCCCGCGCTCCCGAAGTCACGATCGCTCGCAAAATAGATGGATCGGCGCTTCTGGACACACGGT